AATATTTTTTTAATTACCTAGAAAAATTAGATATGAGGTGATGAACACCACTGATCATTAGGGAACTGCAAATTACAATCCCAATGACATACCACTACGCACCCACTAGTATTCAAAGCACTCACAGCACTAAGTATTGGCAAAGATATGGAGAAACTGGAACTCTCACCAGCAGTTAGTGGGAATGTAAGTTTCACAATTTGGAAAACTGTTCGCACTATTTACCAGACTAGAAACACATGCACCCTATAACCTAGCAATTAAATTCCTGGGTATATGTTCCAACAGAAATGAGTGCTATGTCCAACAAATACACAACAATGTTCGTATCAGATTTATTCATACTGACCCGAAACTAAAACATCTTAAACATCCATGAAAAATAAGAAGAGAAATAAACATGATACATGCATATAATGGAATACTATTCAGCAAGAAAAAAGAATGAACTTCTGCTATATAAAACAACATGATGAATCTCACAGAAATAAAGTTGAGCCAAAGAAGCCAGACATGAAAGAGTACATTGTATTATAATTCCATTTATAAGAATAAAGTAATTTATCGTAGTAGAGGTAAGATAACGGTTACCTCAGGGAGGGGAAGGCATGTACGGGAGGACACAAAGGGAGTCTTCTGCGATGCTGGAAATGGCTGTATTTTGATCTAGGAGGTGGGTACACGGTTGTACACATATGCAAAAATTTGTCAAACTGTACTTACGATTTTGTGGACTTTGCTATACACAAGCTACGGCCCATTCCACGGTATCGTCTGCTCCATGTCCTTTCTTGTCGCGGAACTTTGTTCTTTTTCATTGTTGTCCCATCTAGTATCGTATTGTATGAATGTACCACAACTTTCCTTCTTATTGGTGTGGAGCATCTATAAAAAGTGCAAAAATTTAATTTATTTTTTATCCCAAATGCACATCTCATCCGCTCACTGGTAGACTGCTTACTAAAATACTAAGAAATAAACTCCATTTGCAACATTACTTTAATGTTGCCACCTTCCACTTTAAGCATGAACAAATCGCTGGGTCCACATTTATTTGTTGCCGACCAAGGTTACTGCACAAACCTCAATGGCAGAGTGATAGGAATGAAAGTTTTTCTCAAAAACAATGTATCAGAGTAGAATAACGTTTGCTTAAAATGACCCTTTGTGAACCAATAAAACACTGTATTTAGAGGATTGGTCTATGGTGAATGAACCTACGTTATTTCAGAGAACTTTCGTGAATGGGAAAAAGAATGAGAACCAACCGCGGTGGGATAAAGGAGGCTCGCTGTCAGAGCATGGCCCGGTGCACACCAGGTAGCTGTAAGATTCCAAACTCCATCTCTCCGTCCGCCAGCATCACCAACTGCAGGCGCCGTGTGGAGCCCTTTCTGTGTATCCTCCCAGTACCGCCTCGGGGAGGGGCCCATCACCCTGCTGCACGGGCGCGGTGACTTCAGTCTGCCTAAAGGTCACAAACATCTCCTCCTAGGTTCCCTCCTGGAAGTTATAAAACTTTTAGGAAGTTTCTCCATTGACATCTTCCATGCCTTTGAAATTAATCTTTGTTTATGGTGTGCGGGATGGATCCGCGGGAGAATAGGTGGAATCGCTCGTTAAAAGTGTGTAAGAGCAGCCCGGCCGGTGTGGCTCAGCGGTTGGGGGTGGACCTATGAACTGGGAGGTCGCGGTGGGATTCCTGGTCTAATTCCCGGTCAGGGCACGTGGCGGGTTCTGGGCTCGATCCCCCGTGGGGGGCGTGCAGGAGGCCGCTGACCCATCATTCTCTCTCACCATTCATGTTTCTCTCTCTCTCTAGCTCTCCTGTCCTCTCTGACATCAATAAAATAAATAAAATACAAGTGTGTAAGTGCCAAGGGGGGATGGAACCCAGGAAAAAAGCTAAGGCATA